CATGGAGAATGAGCTCTAAAGAATAGATTTCCTGTAGTGCACAAGGCTGAAAGGAGGAGCTAAATATTAGGGAGATCAATGCAAGGAAGAAAATGCATTTGTATAAAATTACAAGCTAACTATAAATTTGCGTAAGACAAAAAAAATGAGAGACAAAGGCCTTAATGTGTCAAAACAAAAATAGAACAGTTCATGGAAGCAAGATATGCAAATTGAAAATACATATATGTAAAGGAAAATATACATACAGCTGGTCCTTAATAAGACAGATACATTATAACTCTTTAGAAGTAATGAAAATAAGTATAGATCCTATGTGTGTATGTATATAATACATCTGTGTTATCTCAAACTACACAGTGATGATTGTTTTGAAGAATAAAACTAAAATAGGGTTTAAATCTCACACAAAATTATTTTTTACAAAAAATACACAAATATGTGCATGGTATGTGCTGTAACATAAAGCTGATGATCACGATGATGGAGCCACAAATAATGGTGCTGTCCACCATTTATGAAAGGATGAAAAGAGAATATCCCCATTCAGTGCTATGTATACCAATATTAAACATTAGTATATTTTTTAGAACTTTTAGTGTTGTTGTTTGTACTTTTACAGTTATTTGTTAATTTCTTCTACACTTGATTTTTTGTGTCTAGATTTTAATATGTAATTAGGCCAAGCCTGAGGATAATTAGATTGGCAAATTATTAAGTTCATGAATGTAAAGGACCAACTGTCTATGCAAAATCATACCTCATTTTCATTAACAGAAAAAGTTGAAAGAGAAGCGATGTAATAAAACAGGCCTTTACTATGAATAGGGAATAGACTATGCAACCTTTGGTGCCTCCAGAATATGACATACATAAGGAACAAGAGTAAACATCTGATATTTTATGCATCTATGAATGTCTTCAAGATGTTTGTGTGGAAATAATATTTCTCCTACTTAATATACCCATATTAACATGAAGAATGATAACTGATCCTGTCAGAACATCAGACAGTAGCAGTAGAAAGGTATGAGGTTGGTGCATGAGAAAGGATGGTGGAAAAATGATAGAAAAACAGTATGTCATAAAATAAATGATTTAGCGTGCCAGCAAAAGACAGGCAGCACAGTAGGGGATAGGAATATGATAGAATATCAGATTCATCAGAAATGAAAACTTGACCTACATAGAAGAGATATCCAAGGAAACAAAGAAGAAATGGGAAAAGGGAGGAAGAAACTGGAAGATCAAGATAAAGGAACAAAGAATAGAAAACCAGATATGTTTGCACAAGACACCAAAAAGTGCAACTGAAATTATGGAAAAAGTAAGCAGACAAACAGGATAAATGTGGTACTACAAATAACTTAACAGAAAAGGATGAAGAGCTGGATTGAAACAGCTGTCTGCCAAAATATTGAGCTATTAGCTACCTAAGTGAATGACATAGAGTTAGGAGTATCTTTGGAAATGATTCTAGCATCAGAAGAATGCAATACTTCCAGAACTATTATTTTCAATCAAGAAATGACATTTGTAAATAGCTAAACTATAAAAATGAAAAAGATTATACATAACGGATGGTAAGATACAGAGACTTGAAGGGCAAACAGCTGATTAATTATATTGCACATTGTGAAACAAAATTTGTTTATCTGTTAAGTAATATCACTCCTTGCTTTCACATGGTTAGCAAGCACTGGGAGGACAGAGAAGTGGGGGACCTGAAAAGCAGTGTGGTGTTTATCTCTTTTTATCTTTTTGTCTTAATGATATATTATTTGCTTGTGATTTTTACCAATCTTATTGCTAAAATAGGTGTGCCAACATCCTGAAGAGCAACAAATATGGTCATGGGGAAAGATTTATGAGTCACTATTTGGGATTGACCAGTATTGACCAGTTATATAAGGCTGCATAACAAAATTATGTCAAAGATCTACTTTCAATAGTTTTCAGTAGCTTATGATTGATAATGTGCCTCGATTTTTGCCAGTTTTATTGATGTATTTATCACTTTTTGAAGGCTTAATTGTTAGCCAAAATATTTATGTCTGCACTTGGATCATGTCTTTCATGAGAGTTAGTCCAGAATATATTACCTTGCATTATCCCTCCTTGTGCTTTACATGTCTATTTATTGAATTAGACAATGAAGTGAGATGTTTTGGGCAACAATCCTTTTCCCATGAAATGGAATTGCACTGATGGGTCAGCAGACTGGTATGGAAACCTTTTGTTTGTGTGCCACATCAAAGGCTTTGTAAAATTTAGGGTACTATGGGAGATGATTTTGCGTCCACTCCATTGTCCTCCTCCCTCTTTTTCAATTCCAAACTCAGTCATCTGATACATACACTTTAGTGAGTAGGATTTATGAGTTGGATTTTCTCTGTCTCAGTTTGATATAACTTAAGATTATTTAGGTCTGATGTATGAGAAAGTTTAATGCTGTTGTGCATAATGAATAAGATGTCTTGTAAAAGGGTTAAGACAGGTGCAGATAGAATGAAACACATTTTTAGTAGCAAGTGAAATTGCACAAATAAATTGTAAATTGTGTTAATTTAGGGACTGAAAACATATTAGATAAGAAATTAAAGTAATGACTTGCCTAATATGGTTGCTAAAATAAAATCACTTGATAATTCTTTTTCTGAATAATTGACAGTCTCTTAAAAGCACTTTTTGTCGGTGCTAATAAAAAGCAAAGGTATTTGCATTTTTAGATTAAATTTTCAATCTAAATAAGTGTATATACATGAGGCAGGAAGTCTAGGCATAATAATGATGTCCGGACTCCATTAAACACCACTTGATTAACAAGATTTGGAGAGAGAAGCAGATATTGAAGTGAATATACTGTAGACTAGTAATGTTCTTTTTACTGATTTTTAATTATTATTATTATTATTTTTTTATTAGGCTTCAACATATTTTTGAGTACTGATATGAAATTTAGATTTTCTCTGGACATTAATAGCCTTATTATATTGTTCAGATAATAAGTTTGGATCACAATAAAACTGATGGAGTTAGTGAGGAATATTGTTACATATTTTGGATATGAACAAGCAAAAAGTCTGGTTGGTGAATCTGTGATGTTCTAGCGAGGGTAATAGCTTTAATGACAAAAAAAAAATAGTTTTATATTTCAATGTTTTCAAGTGTTGTTATAGGCTTTCCGGATTTTTTCATATAAATTATGTGTGGTAATATTTTAACAGAGAAATGAATGTATTTTGTGTTATATCACAGTTAGAAATTTTAGATGAAGTTAGATGTCACTGCGACTGCTTATTTTTTTGCACTTGTGTGTGAAGATATTAATTACTAGGATGTGAACCTTGTTGATTATATAGACTTCTGTAACAACAGACAGCTATGTTTTTTTTAGGCATTTGTTTTATTGTTATTCTTGCTCCCAGTAACCATCCATACATGTGCCTTTATTGATGCATTGAACAGGGATATGGTTAGTGTCGATGTTCAAACTCTATGTGTGAAAAAATACTTTTATGCCTTTTCTGATGGTGCCTGGCTTGAAAGACCTTCCTGATTTTTCACCATGTTTAAATCTTCTAAACGTAGATCATGCTTGAAATCAGGAATATATCATGGATAAAGGAAAAGAAAATTCACTTTGATTAGATTGAGTGTAGAGAGATTTAAGCAAACGAAAGAAAGGAAGCTATTTAATATTAATTATAAACTTCAAAAGGATGAAAAAATTAAGAACTTCATGTGCTCATAGGATAGGAAAAATGCATTGATTGTTAGTTTATTTCCTTTTTTATATTCCACCTCAGATCATTCAAATTTGGATATGTGGCATATGGATAATTGAAACTTTTTTTATTTTTTTTTATTTTTATGGTTTCACTCAGTGTGCACATTTTCCTAGGAACGATGATATCTGTATTTCATCCTTTTGAGGTTCAGAACGAATATCTCAACTCTTGTTTCAGGAAAGAAAACAGGTTGCTATGTTGGATTATATTCATATTTCATTTGTTTTCCTCTTGTTTTGTGTTCATTCATGGTAGTTTTACTATCATCTGTAAGTTCTCAATGAAGTTAAGTATATTGGTGTTGATGGTTTTATAATCTCATTCATTTTATTCCCTGTTTTTTTTTGTTCTTTGTTTTTTTTTTCCCAGGGATAACTGTGGTTCATTTTCTCAGAAATTTTTTACCTGTATTTTTATGCACTGCTCTCTAAAATTTTCACATTCCACTTACTTTAGTAAGATAAAAAGACTTGGTAAACAACAAAAGAAATTGGGTAAGTAGAGCAAATATTTAAACAATCATCATATTTGTAACATTCAAATATACACACGCATACACGTTTGTACACCCACACACACCCACACACACCTACACCTACACCTACACCTACACCTACACCCACACTCACACACACCTACACTTACACCTACACCTACACCTACACCTACACCTACACCTACACCTACACCTACACCTACACCTACACCTACACCTACACCTACACCTACACCTACACCTACACCTACACCTACACCTACACCTACACCTACACCTACACCTACACCTACACCTACACCTACACCTACACCTACACCTACACCTACACCTACACCTACACCTACACCTACACCTACACCTACACCTACACCTACACCTACACCTACACCTACACCTACACCTACACCTACACCTACACCTACACCTACACCTACACCTACACCTACACCTACACCTACACCTACACCTACACCTACACCTACACCTACACCTACACCTACACCTACACCTACACCTACACCTACACCTACACCTACACCTACACCTACACCTACACCTACACCTACACCTACACCTACACCTACACCTACACCTACACCTACACCTACACCTACACCTACACCTACACCTACACCTACACCTACACCTACACCTACACCTACACCTACACCTACACCTACACCTACACCTACACCTACACCTACACCTACACCTACACCTACACCTACACCTACACCTACACCTACACCTACACCTACACCTACACCTACACCTACACCTACACCTACACCTACACCTACACCTACACCTACACCTACACCTACACCTACACCTACACCTACACCTACACCTACACCTACACCTACACCTACACCTACACCTACACCTACACCTACACCTACACCTACACCTACACCTACACCTACACCTACACCTACACCTACACCTACACCTACACCTACACCTACACCTACACCTACACCTACACCTACACCTACACCTACACCTACACCTACACCTACACCTACACCTACACCTACACCTACACCTACACCTACACCTACACCTACACCTACACCTACACCTACACCTACACCTACACCTACACCTACACCTACACCTACACCTACACCTACACCTACACCTACACCTACACCTACACCTACACCTACACCTACACCTACACCTACACCTACACCTACACCTACACCTACACCTACACCTACACCTACACCTACACCTACACCTACACCTACACCTACACCTACACCTACACCTACACCTACACCTACACCTACACCTACACCTACACCTACACCTACACCTACACCTACACCTACACCTACACCTACACCTACACCTACACCTACACCTACACCTACACCTACACCTACACCTACACCTACACCTACACCTACACCTACACCTACACCTACACCTACACCTACACCTACACCTACACCTACACCTACACCTACACCTACACCTACACCTACACCTACACCTACACCTACACCTACACCTACACCTACACCTACACCTACACCTACACCTACACCTACACCTACACCTACACCTACACCTACACCTACACCTACACCTACACCTACACCTACACCTACACCTACACCTACACCTACACCTACACCTACACCTACACCTACACCTACACCTACACCTACACCTACACCTACACCTACACCTACACCTACACCTACACCTACACCTACACCTACACCTACACCTACACCTACACCTACACCTACACCTACACCTACACCTACACCTACACCTACACCTACACCTACACCTACACCTACACCTACACCTACACCTACACCTACACCTACACCTACACCTACACCTACACCTACACCTACACCTACACCTACACCTACACCTACACCTACACCTACACCTACACCTACACCTACACCTACACCTACACCTACACCTACACCTACACCTACACCTACACCTACACCTACACCTACACCTACACCTACACCTACACCTACACCTACACCTACACCTACACCTACACCTACACCTACACCTACACCTACACCTACACCTACACCTACACCTACACCTACACCTACACCTACACCTACACCTACACCTACACCTACACCTACACCTACACCTACACCTACACCTACACCTACACCTACACCTACACCTACACCTACACCTACACCTACACCTACACCTACACCTACACCTACACCTACACCTACACCTACACCTACACCTACACCTACACCTACACCTACACCTACACCTACACCTACACCTACACCTACACCTACACCTACACCTACACCTACACCTACACCTACACCTACACCTACACCTACACCTACACCTACACCTACACCTACACCTACACCTACACCTACACCTACACCTACACCTACACCTACACCTACACCTACACCTACACCTAGACCTACACCTAGACCTACACCTACACCTACACCTACACCTACACCTACACCTACACCTACACCTACATTGGATGCAGGGCACCAAGGGAACAACTGTTTAATATACATATCGTATGATAAGCACAACCATTGCATGGCATAAATACTTGCCACCCAGCATATGGGCTTGGTGCTACATGGCAAGAGCAGATGCCACTGGGTATGAATAGGTTAAATGTAAAGCAAATCCTCCTTCAGCCAAGCCCATAAGACTGTTTTTGGTAAGAAGTGAGAAAATGGAAATACCTGAAGTAGTGGCCAAGAAAAAAAATCAGTAATACATATCTATGTAGCAAAGATCAGAATCAATATTCACAGATAGCTAAGTGATTTACGCAGAGCTGCCATCTTTTGAAAAAATGCAGAGTTGAGGGTTACTCTATATTTTGAGACTAATATTATCTTTCACGGAAAAGGGATTCCACAGTTGTAATCAGCTATCCGGGCATGAACAGCTAAATGTCAATACCCCCCACCCTCATTCCCTTGCTCTTTGTTGTCTGTGTGTGTGTGTAGGAAACAGCCTCACCCCGTAGCCCCATCCAATCACAATATTTTGAATACGCCACTAAATGACCTTAGATTTTGACACGGCAGAAAAAAATTCAATAAAAGTATAAATTACTGTCAACAAAACAGTTCTTTGATTCAAAGATGGATTAACTATAGGCCAGCCCACTATAGGCCAGCCCACAACTTGTGGGCCAACATCTGATGTAGGCCTTGTATGGGTCTGGTGAGCATAAACTAGAATATGACTGTGTGCCTGATCTGCTGTATGCCTGGTATGGGCCTAATGTGTGTGAACTAGAATATGACTGTGGGCCAAGATCTGCATTTCTTTATTATCAGTGAAAATGTAATCATTGAGTATACCCCTGACTACAGTCAGTGTCTTGTTGGTGTGTTCAGTATGCTGTCACAAAACAATTTTCTTCTGATGAGGCAATGTCCTGACAAGCTGAATAACCTGACTGGGATCAGACCAGTTGTCCTATCAGATCATGTGCTTTTGTAAATACATCTGCTACTCCTGGTTGTTGCCGTGGGAGATGGCTGCTGAGATCTAAGCTGGGGACCATCCCTACCTTGAACCTCAGCCCTCAACTCAGCTAATTTTGCACAGTCTTCTCTTCTTTCCCTTTCCTTCTACTATCCACTACCTAAGGTGTGAGAGCTGTGCTGAAAGGATGAAAAGCTGATTTTGTGCCTGGTACTTATGGGTATGGTATATCCCTGTTTAGTTGTCTAGCTCTGATGGGTGGACTGTTTCTCCCCCCTACATATTCCAGGCTTACCATGGCTAGTAATAAAGATTTCGTACCCTTATTAGGGGCATTGAGGATTGTCCCTTTATCAACTAGCCACACAGATTTCAATGATCTCAGTTCCCTGACCCCAGGCTCTTCTTTGACCACAACTCTGAACACTGCTACTACCCCCTACTCATTGCCTACCATCTTCTCAGTCTAGTCCAAATTTTCCAACCAGGTCATTACTGAACTCTAGAAAACTTTCCTTCTCTCCTAACTTCCTCTACTTCATCTGCTCCACCCCCACAGCTTTCTTAATTTACTACCCCCTTCTCTCTTATTACTTCTCTGCAGCCTTATTGTCCACCTTTCTGCAGCACTACCTCCCTCAACACTACTCTCTTCCATATGTCCCCATCCTTCTAGTAAACCCACCTCTACAAATCTTTGGAATACTTTGTTTAGCCTAGCCAAATGTTATTGATTTTTTGTAATCACTTCTACAGCCCCATACTCTAACACTCTTCCAGCAGTCTCAAAACACTAGCAGGCAGTTTCCTTCTGCAACTGCCCCAGTTTTCTTGCTTTGTCACTGTTACATCCAAATCCCAAGCTGATGCATTATCAATCCTGACTTCATTGGCAAACCCATTCCTGCCCTGCCTCATCCCTCCCTCAATACTTGTACTATTACTGTCTCCATCTCCAAGACAAACTGCCTTGTCTGGTTGGAGTGTGGAAAATGCTATACCATTCTTCCTGGAGGCCGCCATAAGTCCCCCACCAAGATTACTTTCTGTACACACAACCTCCCCCTTCATGTTTATTTATAGCGGTGGAGAGTCCCTTCCTGTCCAACCAATTTGATGCCCTCTTCATGCCCAACCTGGTCACATCCAATCAAACTGTTCTGCACAGTCAGACACATGTGCCAGTTGTGATGGCTCCCATAATGTATTTTATAGGGGCTGCCCTAGTTACATGTTTCTCGGATTAAAACTTGGTCTCATGTAAAGTGAGGCCAGACAGGAAGCACACAGACACTTTTCACTATTATACCTTACTATAGTGCTATGTGGCCTTTGAAGTCTAGCACATTTATTTTGCTTTGTAACTATTAACCATCTGCTGCTCCTGCTACTTGGGAGGCCAACAGATATCATCACATTAATTTGAAACTTCCAAAGAAAACCCATAGGATCCCACCCATGAAAAAGAAATATTGCAGTGTGCAAAAGTGACTATTATACACCTTGAAATACAATCTGGCGCCATTAAGTGAGACTTGCCAGGCCACTGAAGTCAACCGTTACTTCAATTCCCTTTGCACTGAGGAGGAGATTGATAGTTTTACAGTATTTAATTTATTAGTGTGGAGACTCGACTAAAAAGTTTGATAAATGAAGCTGAGCAATGAGATTAAATGATTGTGTCTTGACTAAGAGCCAAGTTTAATTAAAGGAATAGATTGTTGTTTAAATTAACAATTTGCTTTTTTTCCAATACCAAAAAACAAAAATAAAAACAAAAAGAAGTAAAACAATGGTTCCTCCTTTTATTATGTATTAAGTACATCCACAAATATTTTATTACCTAATGTGAAAAATATTATGTAAAAAATTAAAATGTATAAAAATACCAGAAATTATATAAAATAATTCACACTGTAAAAGCTCTTATATTCAATAATCAGTCACTTGTAAATGCAAAGTCATATCATGTTGGACACACTATGTGACTGTACAACAATGCTATCCTAACCGTTAAATTAAACACATATTTAGGAGTTATTCCTGGTTACATGCTGAGGTGTAAAAATCTGAATGTTTATTTAAAAATCCAGGACAATGTGTTTTTTTTTTCAACTATGGACAGAGTATTTACTTAAGTATAGCTTCCAATAATCTTGTATACACAAGTTTCATAAAGATGAATATATCACAGACTTCACATACTTGTACACAGTAA